CCCCAAAACCCCAAAACCCCAAAACCCCAAAACCCCAGGGGCATTTGCTTCGATTGAAATTTTAATTGGGATTATTACTGAATTCGGACGATATTCGTACCTGAATTTTGGACATTTGGACGCAAAATAGAGATTTTAAGTGACGCTTTGAATTTTAGAGTAAATTTAGGACAAATTTGTGAAATTTGAAAACAATTATAATTTTTAATAAGCAGCAGGGTTAGGAAAATTTTGAGGTCAATAAACAAATTGGACCAGAAAGTTTGGGTTAGTAAGAAATTGCTTCTACTTTGAATAGGAAATATTTAGAGTAGTAATTTCATTGGAATCATGAAGAGTTGGCAAGGATATTTAGCTATTAATTCAGTATTTTACATCGAGCTCAACATCATCCAGTTGGTTTGAGTCAAGCATCTTTCTAATATTCTTAGCCAAAAGCTCATCTCCCTCTTCTAAATCCCCCTTCTTCCAAACCACAAGCTTCTCCAATGCTTCCACCATCGGCGACTTCCCAATCTCCTGCACCATCTTCCACAGATCTTCAGGCTCTGTAGCCCAGTCGTTACCGTTATTTACCCCCACAATCAATGAATCCAAGCTCGGAGATCTCAAACTCAGTATGCTTGTTAATACAAACTCCTGAAGCATCAATTGCACAATCTTGGAAACCAAGAATCTCTATGTGTGCAAAGTAATCGAAAATGGCTGAGAGAATGCTGGCTGGGATCTTGAAGTAGCCTAGATTGAGAGCCTTGAGCACTCAAGGACTTATTTTGTGAAAACTAGTTTTGAAAGGCTCGATGTCTAGAAAAATTAGGATTTGTGAAGAGAATTAGTATCACTAAAGTTGTCGCTAAAGGACTTGTGACTAAAGCTCTAAGTTACCTCATACGCCAATTCCTCCATAACTTACTCATGACCTTTCCATTGGTGCCCTTATTGATCAAGGACAAAGCTCCTACATGCTTAGGGAAATGGTTATGGATCAACTGAGTTTGCAGCTTATTGTTCTTGCTATATAAATGAACCCAGAACTTCTTTAAATCAGGCAAGAAGTGCCCATCTAGAAGCTTAAGTAAGTCTTTTAATAAGGCTGCATTTTGGGATTGAGACAGGTTCAGATTTAGCTGAGATTCATCATGAAGCTCCATTGCCATTGAGGAGCTATGTAGAGCAATTCAGTGCTCTAGTTTGTGATTTTCAATTGCAGTATAATCCTGATCAATATTTTGTGATTTAGAGGATTTAGAGAATCTAGGAATGGGGTTCATAATGTTATCACTGCTAGGATTTGATTTGTTTTTAGCATTATTTTGAATACATTCAAGAACTGAGTAGTAATCTCCAATTATCTTCTGAAGGTCTCTAGCAATTGTAACTTTGACTGGGACAAAAACTTCGCCTGTCCTTATTTTCTCTTCAACTTCATCTTTCTCAGCTTCTTTCTCTCTGATTTTATAATGAATTTCATCAACGATTTGTTTAACTTTATGTCTTTTGATTATTAATTTCCAGTTTCCGTCTTCTGCTGTGATTTTGTAGTCCTCTAACTTTCCAGGAAGATAAGTTTTACCATCCTTGCTTTGGCAAACAATCCCATCTGTAATTTCATCAAGTTCAACTTTTTGGTTTGATTCAAATATTAAGATCTCAGTTGATTTCTTAGGTTTTGATGCGGCTCAACCCATTTTTATTGTATAAATTTATATCTTTGCTCAGTAGTTTTAACATAAAGTGGGGTTTTGGGGTTTTGGGGTTTTGGGG